GTTTCGTAGTTTTCCTGGAAACTCCGGTTGCCACCCTACATAATTGAATCTTTATATGTATTATCTTGTGTACAATATTATTCTTGATTTATTTTTATTTCATGAATAATCAAACATACAAAATGGCATATTAAAATAATATTATAAACTGCAAGGACGTTAATGGACGGGTTATGGGAGGCTGCAATCTAATTAATAGTGTTCTGACCTGAAAGGCTTCACGTTATGACGTCACTCTCAGGCAGAGGAAGGGCATAGTTAAGTGTTTTGATAAGACAAGAGACGTGTTTTAAGAAGTAGTTTTGTTACTATATAGCAGATTTACGACGATTTATAAGACGTAAGTATTCAATAAGGAAAAAAATAGAGTAAAAAAATTCGCTTTCTTTACAGTCGAGCTGGGTTTGGGTAGCTATGAGCTCTTTTTTTAGATTTTTTTGTGTACTGAAAATAAAATTTAGTGTTCTTTTGTATTCAAGTTAATAACTATATATTATAGTATACCATGATTATAGTATAATAAAGAAATGTTTGACAAAATAACATTCTAGTATCATTCACAGTTACATATAATTTTCGCTAATTTTAACTAACTTTTAAGATTTCACTAGAATACATAGTTCAAGTAGAATTAAAACAATAAAACATATAATGATATAATTTGATCAGAGTAAATAAAACGACATTATTTCTTATACCCACGAGCTTAAAAGATTTCATATATATTTATAAATATTATTCTAAAAATAGTTTTAATATGTGTTTATACGTTTATTAGTTATTTTTTGGGACCCATTAATTAATAACAACTTGAAAAGTATTCCCTCACTCCTGTGATATAAATAAAAAACTATGTGATGAAACATTCATTATAATATTTATTGAAATGAATTAATACCGTTTATAAAAGTGCAATCGGCTTATACAGTGCAAGTGAGAATAAATGGAAGCTATAAATTCACGTCACTCCGTCTGCTACTGAGTTACACTACGTCCTTCAAATATAACGGAAAATGAATTTGATTTATTTATTATTGAGAAAAATGATTTCAAATTATTTTTCAACTGTTCCTTATTTGCTTGGCTTTAATTAAATTTAATAATAAATTAACTTGACCTGAAATTTTTGAGTTTGAAAGAGTTTGTCGTATTTATCATATTTATTTAATTAAAATATTTATTTTTCCAATCGTATTGTATTTACGTCAGTATTTTTAACTACAAAAGTTAGCCATTATCGCTCCTGACAGTGAACAGCTCTGCTTGTTATTTAATATTCAAATTGTAATTAATTTTTTTTTGTCTTTTATTGTTTACAGATTTAGGTTAACTTGCAGTATTTGATTACTTTTAATTTATCAGAAACATATATACTGCCTATATATAGACGTCCATATAGATTTACATGAAGTGAACGAGTATTCTTCTATTTATTATATTGATTTGAAAACATAGGTTTTTTGTTAAATTTCGGTCTGAATAGGAAATTGACTGACTCTTTAGAGCGACAAATGGAGAACTCCTTGTGGTAGATCATTGCTTTTATTGTTATATCAGGTAATACAAGAAAATAATATTTATATTGCAAGATATACTGTTTTTACTGTATAGTATTGGTCGTAACTTCTTTTTTTATATTAAGTTATTTAGTTAACCAAACGTTGATTTTATACAGCACAATACACGTTTCTGTAGTTAATGTTACAATTTCTGTAAGTAAGCAAAATTATCTTTCACCGCGCATTGCATATTGAACATTGAACATAATCACAGTGGTGGTCGTTGTGAAACTTTATAGGGATATTAACTTTGTCTTACAACGTGATTGCTGGGCTTAGTTATAATAGCGTGTATTATTTTATACTAGCACTAGTCTTTTCACCTTTCTTAATCTATATTTTAATTTCATATTAATTAAATTTTGATTGTGATTATGGATACCAAGTATTTCACATTAATATTGAATGATGTTCGTATTCTCCTGATAACAAAATAAAAAATATTTAATAATATTTTTGATTTCTTTTCTATGAAGAAATATCTTTTTATTAATATTAATAATGTTATTTATATTGTAAATTAAGTAGCAAATATATATGTATTAATATTTTTTTTAATCTATTAGTTAAAAAAAATATAAAACTGTAAAATTCGCTTTTAGCTTATTAATAAAATGGTGTCAAAATGTATAAAAAATGTTTTAATATTATTTTAAATTAAACTAAATTATTATTCACAAACCCCCAGATTTAAGCTAATTCTGTCAAATTGATGCCAAAATTAATAGCAATATTGATATCGAATCTTCAAACCGAAATCAAGGGTAAACGAGAATTTATCGATTGGCTACAGAGTTTTAAAAAAACCAGGATACATGAAGAATTATATATTTTTCTGGTATATTTTTAAAATATGCCTTGATTTTATACTAAAGCAATAAAAAGGATTATTTTGAAATTGAATATTAAAACAAGTCCTAAAATGTCGGAAAACCTTATTTAGAACCGTGTTGTCGTGGTAACTATCAGTATTTTGACAAGATTGATAAATATGTATAACATAATTGTTATGACAATATTGAGGTTAAAACAAGTAACTACAGGTCATAAGTGTTTGTTATTTGATTTTAAATATAATATACTATTGAATAAACCTTAGTTATACTAGATCTTGTCTAACTTTCGCCCTTTCATAACTAATCAAACATAATAATTATAACACAAAATCTAAATAAAAGTATTTCGATTGTAAAATCAGATGTTGATTTTTGTAATGTAATGAATATTTCAAATCGGCGATAGCATCAATCGAGAAATGAAGTTTTATGTTTATAACAAAAGAAGAGCGAATTATTTGATTCGGCGAATAGGTTTAAATTTAAATATGCGTTGATTTTTTTGTAATAATCTGTAGTGTACAGACTAGAAGTCATATATTTGTAATTATTACATATTATATAGTATATTTGTAATTAAAGAATATGTTATTATATTATATATTAAGTTTCGTAATGATTTGAATCAGAAATAATTTTTAATCTTTGAAACTAAATGTGCATCTTTTTTTGTAGTGATGTTACAATTCGTAAGTAAACGATGAATTCTTTAGCTTTATATATTCAAATACATCATCATGAAAACCTTTAATAATGATTAGTTGTATATTTTATCAAGTACATATACATAAAAATAATTATAATTTCTTAGCCACATTTATATCAGACATTAGTTATTTTGTGTGATATTTAGTGATAGTTTAAGTGATATTTAGTGATACATCGTTCAATAGGAATATGCTTAAATTATTATAAAATATCTTTATATTTTAAAGATTTAATTGAATGTTGATGAAAATTTTAGGTTAAAAAGAGATATTTTTGAATATATTCCTAAACACAGAATGCAGAAACAATTGTAGAACGTCTAGCATCTGCTGAATGTTCAATAGCTCGAGATTAGTCGCTCGATCATGTCACAGATGACTTCAAATAAAGATGAAGTGGAAACTGGATGAAACATGTGCTTCACATGGCGTATATAATAAAACAAACGTGATGTGATGTAGATAAGATTATTGTTTGTTTAAAATAGGATTTCGTAAAGTAACTAAACTTAAATGAAACTAATATTTTTCGGATGTACACGATTTTAATTTTTATAAAAACTACACATTCCCGATGTTTCGGTTACTTTACAGCAACCGTGATCACGGACAGACAAAAGGTCTGTCTGACGGAACTGGACTTAAAAAAAAGAAAGACTACACACACAGACATGTATTTACCTATATATATAGATATAAATGTTTTATGATGTGAATACAAAATATTTTTTAAGTTGTTTGAGTTTATAAAATCATAACGAGAACAAATAAACAAACATGCTATAGTTTGTAAGTAAAATTTTTAAACTTACTTTGATATATACATATAATTGTTATGCATCAAATATATATATTTTTTATAAAATAACGTTATTAGAGTCATATCTAAAATACAGTTCTGTATTCCTCTTCATATAACATGTGTCGTAACATTATTTGTCTCTATAGAAAACAAATACAACGTCGTCGACAAACATTACTTTGTCAAACGAACGTTAATACCTGTCTTTGTCTTTGACGGCTCTTGTTTGTTCAAAATATATTTTAAAATATTTATGAGAAGAGGCAGCCATAATTTAACTAATCCAACCACTCGTTTAAAAATTATGTATCAAAAAATTCCTTCCCAACTTTTACCTCATCCTTCCTTTTCACGTAATAAAGTTAAAATAAATAATAAATATATATTATATTACAATTCTCGAGATTAAGAAGGTTTTGATTCAGAAAAAACAGAGTATGAATATGAATAAGGGTTTATGAGATTGAGTAATAATAGGATCTCAAGAATATTTATATATTAAAAAAAAAATTGAAGAAAAATCTATCAAGTGCAATAGAAAAATTATGTTGGGACACATCTAAAGTTATGCAAAATCATTATATTTTTAGGAGTAATCCAAATAGTGGTAAAAAGAATTAGTTCTTCAAAGAAATATTATTTAAAAATGTCATTTATGGTTATATTTATGTTCATGTTACAAGTGGCACCATCTGCGACGAACTAATTATAATATACTATAATCCTTAGAACTATTTTATGATAGATAATAATAATTAATTATAATACGGAACCATTGTAATTTTGTAATCCCAACACTTAAGTATCAACTTGTATTTGGGAACTATACATACTGGCTTCAGCCATTTCGTAAGACATTACTGGAAATAAAAATGAACATTAAAAATAAAGACTAAAACTGTACCTCGAATATTCATTTGACAATATAAGTATATACATTTTGTATTCAGGAGTCAGCTTAAACTGTCCGCTCGTAAAAAGAGTTTCCACTACGTCATCAAAAAAAAAAAGGAGTCAGCTTAAACGCATACAAAAATTAATTAGGTCGATTCATATTAGACCAAAACATGATAAATAATAGGAAAGTAATACTTACAAAAGTAGAATTGTTCATAAGCAGTCTGGTTGTGAAGTTCTTCACGTTGAAGAGCGTCAGACCTCCCCAACGATCGCGGAAGACCAACTCCTCGTCTGGAAGAAACATCACATTAAAAATAATATATAGGGACATAGAAATAAATATGTGGTGCTTAATGCTCATGTGGGTGCGTAATCTGTTAGACTCCTTATTTCTGAGAAGTTTTGTTATGGAACTGAAATAATTGAGAAAAATAAACTATTTATTCATTGAAATTAGTTAGAAAACTTATATTTAATTTCATGAAGGCTTTTTCTTGTTATCTTTAAAAAATATATATTTTCTTACGTTACAGATATATTTGCATTGGTTTCCAGTTAAATAATATTTTGTAATAGTCTATTTATTTATTAGCGTGAGCAATACTTCAATAAAGAAAAATAAATGTATTTTCTTCCATCAACTACATATTTATAAACTCACTAGCTTTCCGCCCGCAGCTTCGCCGCGTGGAGTTCGGTTATATCGCGTTTCCAAGAGAACCTTTCAAAAGTCTGGGATAAAAACTATCCTATGTTCTTTCTCAAGGTCAACTCTATCTCTGTACCGAATTTCATTAAAATCAGTTCAGTGGTTTAGGCGTGAAAGCGTAGCAGACAGACAGACAGACAGACAGACAGACAGAGTTACTTTCGCATTTATAATATTATAGTAGGGATTAGAAAGAAAATCAAGTAATTTAGATACATATGAAGAAGTATCTGTTACAGGCTGAAAACAACATAAGTTTTAAGAAGATCGTGTCCACCTCGAAATCGGCAACATACTTTAGTGAATACGACAATACACAGTTAAGTTTTCGAGTAGAACTTAGAGGAAATACTTTTTCTTTATTATTTAGTGACTCCTTTATTTTATAGGCATGAGGCCAAAGGGAACGTTTTGGAAGGCTTATTAAGACTTGTGTTTGTATTCGGGTAGGGTCGCGTTAATCAATCACAATAACATGGGTCCGCTTTTACGAACACGACGTGAGTTAGTCCTGGATACGAGAACATACTAGTAAGTACGTGTATTATAGAGAACTACGTGAGGAAGTGATGTTTAAATGATTGAATCAAGCCTAATATAAAGGAATTCATAATCTTAATAGAAAATATCTCTTATTTTGTTTCTTGGGATGATAAATTTTGTCATGCTTATATTAAAAACAATATGTTAGTCCCATCAAAGGCATCCTTTCTTTAGGATGCATTGTCACCTCTATGTGACTTGTTAATAATGTCAATGACCTTAAGAACACATTGATTTACAGTGAACATTTATCTAGTCAACATGACAATAACTTGCTTAAACATTTGAAGCTAATGTAGAGGAGTTTTTCAGTTTTAAATTTCTAGACAATCCCAAAAATAAATTTATTATAGCACTTTTCAGGGAATTCAATATAACATAATGAAAAATTCAAGTATAAAGAGTTTTTTTCTAATCCATTTAATGTAGTTGACAAAAATTGCTGCTCTTAAATGACTGTATAAGAAAAAAAGGCACTTTAAGTTGAAATATATATAAGGGATTATTGTTAATAAAATATTTTGAAATAAACACCCAACTGTCTTTAAAATATGCTTTAAAATAAAATATCTGCAATTCCGAATGAGTTTAATTTTAAAGTTGGTTGCCACATTTAAATAACAATTTATTAAAATAAATCCAGCTCCGTCCGGTACCGTGTCGACCGTTCCGAGGAAGACTGATGGTAGCTTGATTAAGATTTAGACCGGTCTAAGTAATGGAAAAATATAACACTACAACTAGACAGATGATGCTTCAGAGTGGAAAGGAGTTTGATCCTACTGTTACCACAATAACAGATAACATACATTGGATTTTAAAACTATTACTTCGTTAATGTTAATTAAAAATGATTATTAGTAAATTAAGCTATTTTCTGTAAATAGAGAATAGAAATACGTATATGTATTAAAATTATCATGTTCGCTGATTCCTCGTTCCCATCAGGTTGCGTTGACAAAGAGAACAAATTTCATTTCAGAAAAGTAGATTAAATTAATAATTTTACAATTTTTGCAAATTAAAATAACATAAAGAACAACACTGGTAAATAATCAAATATGAATAATACAACAACATATTTCGTAAATTGTTTGATTTTCAATAAGTTTCATCCGGCACCGGTTTGCGGCTATGAATTTGGCCCGGGTCATTCCCGGTTATAAATCGCTCGGTTCAGGTCAAAACAAAATGTTTTCTAGGCCGGGATGGATTTGAATTGTGTCCAGCCTTCCATGAATATTAACGTATTCTCTATCGACAATTTATTTTACCCGAGTATTTCGGGTATTTAATGTTTTAGTTTAATGTTATTTCTAATGACAGGGATCGTAATTAATTTATTTTACGACACTAATATATGTATTATGCAATTAATGGTTTAGTAACGAGATGGGTTGTACATGAAAAATAAACAAATAATTTATAAGTGGTACTACTCTATTGAATGTGTTTTCATGATAATAAACGAAAAATATTTTCAGTTATTGTTTCTGAATTACTTTTAATAGGGTGATGTTGAAATGTGAAGGATATTTTAGACAATATTTTTGATAAGACACAGTGAAGTTTCCGTATATAAAATTTAAAATACCTTTAAGTATAAGAACATGTAGTCTGTACATTGTTTTTTAAACATAAATATGTGTAATATATTAAACATGAGAAATATAATTTATAAGTTACAAAAACTAATTACATAGAATTGTCTGCAAAAGGAAAATACTGTTAAAAATACATAAAAAAAACTATACAAAACGTTTATAGCTAACACAATGTCAGCAAGTATTTCTTACATAAACCGGTATACTCGTATAATACAGAGCCCGGTCAATATTTCCAAACCATTGGAAAAACCGGATGTAACCGTTTCAAATGACGTTTGAAACCTATTGCTTACACTATATTATTTGAACAACTTCGTACGTCTCTATTTTTTTTATTTTTATAAATAAATTACTGATTAAGATAACTTAAGTATTTTCCTTAAATAAGTTCTTCTATGACCCTTTTAATACACGATTATGTCAAGATTAAAGGATATTTATTCCTTATATATCCACTTAATTACGAAGAAAAGAAACAAGTAGGATTATATATAATATTAAATGTACATATATACATAATATATTATAAGTATGTATATTGATGTTAAAGTGAAGTAATCAGTAAATTCTAAAGTATATTTATGTCAGTACGCCATGCGTGAACATGGAGCCGCTTGAAGAGCTATTAATTTTATCCAACCCATACTCCCCGGTTATAAATAAAACATAATATTTTTGCGGTCCTAAAGGTTACTTATTTTACATAGGATATTTATTATTTTATTTAATATTACTTTTAAAATACTATAATAGGTTTTCGTAGGTAATATTATGGTTTCTATGAAAGTATTCGTGTGTCTTTTCGCTTAGTTTCGTGGTTATGACACCTTTCAACTGCCTCTGTACTGCCTAACACCCTTCAAGTAATTACTGTCCATATGGTTATTACACTGTTATTACTTCTAAAATCGTTACCGTCTTTCTATGCCTCTCTAACAGCTCTATTCGTTACCGAGAAGATTGCTAAACCATTTACTGCTAAAAGACAAAGAAAATAATGTTTTTTTTAATTTCTTGTTCACCAAAAAAATAAACATACTCAAATTAAACTAATTTTTCGTTCTACTTAACACATAATAACATATTTTTCATTATTTTTAATATATATGTTCAGTCTATACAGGGTTAGGAGAAAAATTATTGATATAAAGAGCTTTTTTGTTTATAATTATGTAAGTATTAATAGTTGTACATATTTGACCCTTTCATCAAATTTTTCGAGCATAAAAAGTATATAGCGCTATATATTCAGCAGCTGTCTGACCCGTATTCCTCCTATTTATATAGCTACCGTCAATAGAATTTATTTTAGAAGGAAAAATAATGTGACGTTTCTATTAAAATATGTTATGTGATGTGAAATTTATATTCCTATAAAGTAAAGGGTTTTATCACTTCGCATAACTTGAATTATTATGTATCGTCTTTTGATGTACGTAATACATAAATATATATATATATATATATATATATATATAATTCTAATAACATATATATATATATATATATATATATATATATATATATATATATATATATATATATATATATATATATATATATATGTGTTATTAGAAAAATTGTTGTATAAACCAATACTAAATGTTAGTGAAAGGAACTTATGAAATAGTTTCTTTAGTTTAGCAAATTAAAAAGTAGGTGAGACAGATAGAAGAAAAACCTTTATGCGAGAGATCCACTTGGACATAGTACATTTTTAGTTGGTATATTGGGTCGTTTTCTACTAAATATTGTTTCATTTTTATTTAATTTATAATAAATTCGTTTATGCAAATAAAAAGTTAAGTCGACAGAGACATATTAAAATTCAATTAAATATTTGAAATGGAATCTTTTATATTACGGCTTGTTTATTAACCCTATGCTTTGAGAAGTAAAAAAAATATTTAAAGTGAAAATTTCAGACAAATGCCATTTTAGTTGTCGAAAAGGTTTTAAAATTTCATTTTTAATCCGCTATTCTTTATAAAATTCTGTTCTATCAAGGCAATCTGACAAATGAATTCTAGGTCTTCTTTGGATTTTCAGCCGGTTGGTGGCAGAGCGCCAATGTTCTGTAGCCACTGCGGATATAATATGTATATAGCAAGTATTATTGTGATATTGAGTTTTTATATTCCCTCAATAAAATCAAATATATCACAACTGTTAGTTAGACCTGTTATTTAAGAATAATTAATCAATAAATAATTAGAACAGTTCAATAAACTTGAGTTAAACAAATTGTAACTTAATTATACAAATTAAATTTTATAAAAATTTACGTAATTATATCACTCGTTATCGACAGTTTTATAAAAGGGTACACTGAAGCTTGAAGTATCAAAGTGTGTCTATATATGTGTATGCATGAGAACTTATACGCGTCAGTGTCCTTATAATGGGTAATTTTTATATTCTCTCAACAAAAT